AACAAAAAAGGAGATATCACAACTGATCCTAAGGAGATACAAGATATAACTTATGAATACTACAAAAAACTTTATGTACACAAACTGGAAAATGTGGAGGAAATGGACAAATTTCTAGAAACAACATCCCGAGGTTCAACCAGGAAGAAATAGAATTCCTGAACAGACCAATATCAAGAGCTGAAATAGAAACAGCAATTAAAAATCTCCCTAAAAAGAAAAGTCCCAGTCAAGATGGTTTCACACCCAAATTTCACCACACTTACAAAGAAGAACTGATGCCTATCTTGCAGAAATTATTCCACAACATTGAGAAGAATGGAAACCTCCCCGACATCTTTTATGAAGCGAATATTACTCTGATACCAAAACCAGGAAAGGATGCAACAAAAAAAGAAAACTACAGACCAATAGCCCTAATGAATATACATGCAAAAATTTTCAACAAAATCCTAGCTAACCCAATTCAGACGCTTATCAAAAAAATAATCCATCACGAACAAGTGGACTATATCCCACGGATGCATGGATGGTTCAGCATACATAAATCTATAAATGCAATTCACCACATAAACAGAAGCAAAAACAAAGACCACATGATTCTTTCAATAGATGCAGGAAAAGCTTTTGACAAAAGTCAACACCCTTTCATGTAAGAACACTTAATAGGCATAGAAGGGACATACCTAAAAATGACATAAACCATATATGGCAGACCCATTGCCAACATCATACTGAATGGGGAAAAGTTGAAAGCATTCCCACTTAGAACTGGAACCAGGCAAGGCTTCCCACTATCTCCACTTCTATTCAACATAATGCTGGAAGTCCTGGCTATAGCAATCAGATAGGAAAGTGGAATTAAAGGTATCCAAATAGGGGCAGAAGAGATCAAGCTTTTGCTCTTTACTGATGATATGATATTATATTTAGAAAACCCCAAAGATTCAACCAAGAAACTCCTGGAACTGACAAATGAATTTAGTAAAGTCTCGGGATACAAAATCAATACATAGAAATCAGAGGCATTCATATACGCCAACAACAATCAAATTGAGAACCAAATCAAAGGCTCAATTCCCTTCACAATAGCAACGAAGAAATTAAAGTACCTAGGAATATACTTAACCAAGAAGTAAAAGACCTCTACAGGGAGAACTATGAAACACTGAGGAAGGAAATAGAAGAGGATGTAAACAGATGGAAATTCATACTATGCTCGTGGGTCAGCAGACTCAACATCATTAAAATGTCTACCCAAACTGATCTACAGATTCAATGCAATATCTATTAAAATCCCATAATCATTCTTCACAGATATAGAAAAAATACTTTTATGCTTCATTTGGAACCAGAGAAGACACCGCATATCAAAAGGAATTCTAGGCAATAAAAACAAAATTGGAGGTATTAATATGCCAGATATCAAACTACACTACAAAGCTGTAGTAATTAAATCAATCTGGTATTGGCACAAAAATAGAAATACTGACCAGTGGAACAGATCTGAGAATCCTGATATAAAACCATCCTCATATAGCCATCTAATCTTTGATAAATAAGACAAAAACATACACTGGGGAAAAGAATTCCTTTTCAAGTGCTGGGAAAACTGGATAGCCACTTGTAGAAGGCTGAAGCAGGATCTACACCTTTCATCTCTCACAAAAATCAACTCACGCTGGATAACAGACTTAAATCTAAGGTATGAAACTATTAGAATTCTAGAGGAAAATGTTGGAAACACTCTCCTACACATTGGCTTAGGCAAAGAGTTTATGAAGAAGTCCCCAAAGGCAATCACAGCAGCAATAAAAATAAATAAACGGGACATGATCAAACTCAAAAGCTTCTGCACAGCCAAAGAAATAGTCATGAAAGTAAACAGACAACCTACAGAATGGGAGAAATTTTTTCATCCTACACATCTGATAAGGGGCTGATAACTAGAATCTACTTAGAACTCATGAAAATCAGTAAGAAAAAATCAAGCAGCCCTATCAAGAAGTGGGAAAAGGACTTGAACAAACACTTTTCTAAAGAAGACAGAAGAATGGCCAACGAACATATGAAAAAATGCTCAACATCTCTAATCATCAGGGAAATGCAAATCAAAACCACAATGAGATATCACTTAACTCCAGTGAGAATGGCCTTTATCAAAAAGTCCCCGAACAATAAATGCTGGCATGGATGCAGAGAGAGAGGAACACTCCTACATTGCTGGTGGAACTGCAAACTAGTTCAACCTCTTTGGAAAGCAATATGGAGAAACCTTTAAGTGATACAAGCGGATCTACCATTTGATCCAGCAATCCCACTACTGGGCATCTATCCAAAAGAACAAAGGACAATCTACAAAGAAGACACCTGCACTCGAATGTTTATAACAGCACAATTCATAATTGCAAGGCTGTGGAAGCAGCCCAAGTGCCCATCAATCCAAGAGTGGATTAATAAAATGTGGTATATGTATACCATGGAGTACAATTCAGCTCTAAGAAACAATGACGATATAGCACATCTTGTATTTTCCTAGTTAGAGCTGGAACACATACTACTAAGTGAAGTATCCCAAGAATGGAAAAACAAGCACCACATATACTCACTAGCAAACTGGTATTAACTGAGCAGCACCTAAGTGGACACATAGGAACTACAGTAATAGGGTATTGGGCAGGTGGGAGGGGTGGGGGGGCAGGTGTATACATACATAATGAGTGAGATTTGCACCATTTGTGGGGATGGTCATGCTTGAAGCTCTGACTCTAGGGGGGTGGAAGGCATGGGCAATATATGTAACCTTAATCTTAAGAATGAAAAATTGGGCTAATTTAACAGTTTATGTAATCATTATATTAACTGAACAGAAGAGAAGAAAGATATGATCACCTCAATCAAGGAAGAAAATTTATTTGACAAATATTCAGGTAATTCATGATATTAACTCTTAGAAGACTAAGAAGAGAAGCAAATTTTCACTACCTGATAAAAAGGAAACCCACAAATGCACACATACCCCATAAATACATTCATACTGAATGGTTCAATTATTGAACATTTTCTTCCTAAGTTCGGGGAAAAAGCAAGGACGTCCTTTCTCATCACTTTTATTAAACATTGCCCTGGATGTCCAAGTGAGTTAAATAAGGAAAGAAAAAGAAGTAGTAAAACTGTATTTGTTCACAGACAACATGATAATGTATATTTGAAATTCTAAATGACTGTACAAAAACAATTAGTGTATCTCATATGTAAATTCAGGATATAGGATATATATAAAATATATAAAAATAAAGCATATTTCTATATACCAGGAATAAAAAAATTAGAAAGTGAAATTAAACAATCAATACCAGTTGCAGTAGCATCAGAACTCATAAAATACATAACAGTAAAATTAATGATGTATGAAACTCAACATTAAAAACTATAAAACAATGTCTTTTAAAAAGACCTAAAAAAATGGAGATATAAATCACATTAGTGGAATGGATGTCAATTCTCCCCAAATTAAACACTATCACAATCTTAATCCAGTATGGTCTGTCTTCAAGTAACTAGAGAAGCCGATTCTAAAATTTATATAAAAGTTCAAATGTATATATAGACCAAATAGTATTGACACAGAACACAGAGGACTTAAACTACCTTATATCAAAAAATTTAATAAGCTACCATATTCAAGGAAGTGATTCTTAACTTGTAAAAATAATTTTATTATATTGTGATAGGTATTTATCTTCATAAAATTTAATTTTAAAACCATTTGTTGCTGATATAAAAATATAATTAATTTTTTTATTTATAATTAAATTTATATTGCTATTTTATAGCATATTTGCTTAACTCATATATTAACTATTTTTATTTATAAATTTTTATTATAAAACTATCCAATTAAAATTAAGATCTAAAGAATAGCACCAGGAAAACACATATACTAACAACTTATATTCAATGATTCTTACCATTTGCTTTATTTGCTTTACACACACCCACACCCCAGCACACACACACAATCTAAAAATCACACCTCAGCAAAGAAACATTATTTTCAAGGATAATTAACAATAGCAATGAGGACGCAGACAACGGCTGATGCTCTTTCCTCAAGCCTTGGCTAAGGGAAGTCCAAAGACAGGGACTGAGAATAAAGTCCCTAAGAAGTGTCAGACTGTTCTTTAGTCATGGTACAAATAATCCCAGAACAGGCTTTAGACTTATCTAATCAATAAATGTGACTTTTAAAGTAATGGGAATGACATACACACCAGAACTGGTTTTAAACACGCGTAATCTATCAATGACGATTTGCTTCTTTGTATGTGATACTAAAAGTCAACCAACTGTACAAATAGGTCAGCATAAAAATCAATGCAGACACCTTTTTTCTGAAGCACTCTAAGTTTGTTTTCCTTTCTAATTTTATACAACTTGGTTGTACATGAAATGTGACTCTATAGTAAGAACTCATTCTCCCTTTCCCCAGAATACATAAGATTATAAATATTTGATGGCTGTTTTTTTCTTACAGCAGTCTGCTCTTCCCACACATGTAATAAAGAATTTAATGCAATAAAAAATTACCTTAAAATGGAAAAATTAGATAATGGATATTATTTAACAAAAAAAACACATAATGTATACCAATTATTCAATTAGAGAGAAAAATTGACAATATGTTTAATTAACATAAATATTGCATTGAATACACAAATGTTGATACATAGTATACCACTGTTCAAAAAAATTAAAATTTGACTTACAGAAGCCAAATATGTTTTTTGAAAACAAAATATGACACTGTGATCAGTTCAACTTTTAAATTTTCTATTTATATTAAAAACAATGACATCGTTTTATTTTTATGCTCCAAATTAGTAATGTAAAAGATACAAAAGGATGAGTAAACTAAATAATATATTTATGCATGCTTCAAAATATTTAGGAGACTTTGAAATATGAAAATAGTGAGAGCAAACCAGATAATTACATACCAGAGCAACTCCAACAGCATAATTATTATCACATATTCGTCCTGGAAATGTGGTTCCTATAAAGGTAGGATGTTTCCTGAAGCTAAAAAATAACTTTCCTCAGAAGTTCATTTTAAAGTATCATTAATAATTTTCATAGCAGCAAACATTATTGAACAATTACAATATCCTAAGCACCATGCTACTCTGAATTATACTATTTGAATATGTTTTTCTCAAAGCTACAATATTAAATAATATTTCAATATACATTTTTAATTTTGAATTTAATAAACATCCAGAAATAAGTACAAGACCTAATAATTTCTTCAAAAGGCCATTACACTAATGATTGTAATTTTTATACTGGTTCCCTCTACCTTTATAGCTCTAAAAATTAAATTTTCTGTGACATCCTTATTCATTTATTCACTAAAGATGAACAGATTTTTCTGCACATTAGATTCAGAGTAAGACAATTCAATATATGCATTTTATTAGAATATAAAAATATAAGAATTAGATGAGATAAAAACATAGGAATATGATAACTTATAATAAAAGCTTGTAAACCAAGGGATATCAAAGACATTGTGTCATTCATAAGTAAACTCTTTTAATTATTTCAAGATTTTTATGGAATTGTATTTTTATCACTAACTTTATGTTGTTTGATAAAACATTATAAATTTTGCCTACAATAGGTCCTTTTGGACAAGGAGGCTAGCTACATTTTTTTATATCCCGTGGTATCTATCAAATTTGTAGAACACAATATATAAAGTAAATGGTTATTTTTTATAATTAACATATTAAGCCATTTCTGGTTATTCTTTTAATGTTTAAAATGCAGAATACTACACTTACACAAATAAGTACGTAATGTGATGTTTTGGCTTGAGATGCCTGTCATTCCAGTCTGAAAATCTTAATAATAGATTATTAGGATGCCCTGTAGTAGAAATTTTATTTTTATTTGACCAGATTTCAATGGAAGATATCATAACAGTCAGTTTTAACTGGGTAAGCATCTAAAAGGAAAATATAGATAAATAATTTTAAATAAATTTGAACATTATATTAAACTTATAAAAATATGTTTAACACATTGAGGACAGTATTTTGGTTGTGGAAACTCTTTGATAGCAGAGCAAAATACCATACACATCAATTCGTATTGTCTATATTTTTCCAAAATATATAAAGGAAATAGTTTCAAAAACTTACAGTGTTAACAAGGCCAATTATCTGAATCACCTTCTGTGTTACAGTCTTTATGTCAGAGCCCATGTAATCAAACTGAAAATGATAAAAGGATTTTTAAAAACTAGTAGATGTGATTAACATATCATGTCCCTTTACTTGTATAACACGCTATATTCTAAAGTAGCCATATAACTACATTCCAACTGAAATCCAGGAAATCAATAATTACATATAAATAATGATTTAATAAAAATCTTTAATAACATGATTTTAAACACTTAATGCACTCAATTTGAAGCACAACTTATTGTTTATGAAAATTGAATCCTCAATGTTAAAATGCGATGTTTCAAAATACTTATTTCTAAAATTATAAATATAATCCCAAACCATAAAATATATGCAGAAAGAGGGAAAATATTAAATGACAGGATCACCATCAAAGTGATACTGGATATTGTGTTTAGAAACTTCCTTTGATGTCACAATGTAACACAGGTTCTTCTTTTTTCCCCCAATAAGCTCCTCTTACATCTAATTGCTTTAAAATACCAGCACAATATTAAATAGCAATGGTAATATTAGGTACGTGAACCTTACTGCTGATTTTTCACTGGAAATTCTCAAATATTTCATCATTAAGTGATATTCAGTTTAAGATAAGTATTCTAGATCATGATGAAAAACACCTATTTATAAGCCTTCCTATTTACTAAAGCTTTTATTAAAATGCAGTTGGAATTTTTATCAAATGACTTTTTGAAACATACAAAAATGATAAAGATTCTTATCTTTTGACCTATTAATGCAACGCATTTCATCAATATATTACTTAGTATTAAAGTGGTAAATTCTATTAATATACTATCAAAATTAATAACAGAAGTTTTTAATGTTAAAAAAGATGGCATCTCATTGTGGTTTTAATTTGCATTTCCCCGATGATTAGTGATGATGAACATTTTTTCATGTGTTTACTGGCCATTTGTCTATTTTCTTGTGAAAAACTTCTGTTTATGCCTTTGCCCACTTTTTAATGGGGCTGTTTGTTTTTTCCTTGCTGATTTGTTTAAGCTCTTTGTAGATTCTGGATATCAGTCCCTCATCAGATGTATGCTTTGCAAATATTTTCTCCCATTGTGTAGGTTGTCCATTTACTCTGTTGACTATTTCTTTTGCTATGCAGAAGCTTCTTAATTTAAGCCTCCTTTATTTATTTTTGTTATTTCTGTACTTGCCTTTGGAGTCTTACTCATAAATTCCTTGCTTAGGCTTATGTCCAAAAGAATTTTTCCAATGTTTTCCTCTAGAATTTTTATGGTTTCATGCTGTACATTTAAGTCTTTTATCCATCTTGAATTAATGTCTGTATATGGCAAGAAATAGGGGTTCTGTTTCATTCTTCTGCGTGTGGCTCTCCAGTTTTCCCAGTGCCATTTATAGAACAGAGCTTCCTTTAGCCAGTATACATTGTTGTCTGCTTTGTTGAAGATCAGTTAGTTGTAAGTATGTGGTTTTATTTTATATCAGCAAAGCGGAAGACAAAAATCAATGAAAGTTTTAAAATTTAAAATACAGTAACAGAAATTTTTAAAAAACTCATTGGATTGGCTCAACAGTAGAACAAATAAGGCAGAAGAAAAGGCAGTGAATTTGACAATAGAACAAAAGAAATTACACAATTGGAATGAGAGGATTAGGCTGAAAATATAAAGAAGACCTCAAAACTGTGGGATTTAATATTCTTGTCAGTGTGCTCCTAGAGGGAGAAGAGAAAGAAGATAGGCCTGCAAAAGTATTTGAAAAAATAATGGCTGACAAAATTAAAAATTTGGGAAAAGACATATATACCTACAAATTAAAGAAATTGAGCAAGCCCCAAACAGGATAAATCCAAGGAAATCTACACTAAGGCACATCATAATCAAACTTTGAATCAAATTCATAATCAAAATATAGACCAAAAAACTTGAAAGCAGCAAGAGAGAACAAATACCTTCTTACAGAGGAAAAATAATACAAATGGGAAGCAGATGTCTCATCAGAAACCATAAAAACCAAAAAAAGGTGACACATTTTCATGTGCTGAAAGAAAAGAACTATCAATGCCAAATCCTATATCCAGTAACATTATCCTTCAGAAATGAAGGGAAAATAAATATCTGAAGGAAAACAATCTGCCAACAGGATACCTACCTATGAGAATGGCTAAATAAAGTTCTCTAAACAGAATGGAAATTATAAAAGAAGAAATCTTAAAATACTGGAAACTAAGAAAGAACAAAGAAAAGAGCAAAAATAAACACAATAAACTTTCCTCCTATTCTCACATTATAAAAACTATGTTTGACAGTTGAAAGAAAAATTATAGCACTGTTTGATGTGGTTTTCAATATATGTAGAGGAAATATTTAAGACAATTATAATATTGGGGGATATAAAAGAACACAAATAAGGCCGGGCGTGGTGGCTCACGCCTGTAATCCTAGCACTTTGGGAGGCCGAGGCGGGCGGATTGCTCAAGGTCAGGAGTTCGAAACCAGCCTGAGCGAGACCCCGTCTCTACCAAAAATAGAAATAAATTAATTGACCAACTAAAAATATATATACAAAAAATTAGCCGGGCATGGTGGCGCATGCCTGTAGTCCCAGCTACTTGGGAGGCTGAGGCAGTAGGATTGCTGAGCCCCGGAGATTGAGGTTGCTGTGAGCCAGGCTGACGCCACGGCACTCACTCTAGCCTGGGCAACAAAGTGAGACTCTGTCTCAAAAAAAAAAAAAAAAAAAAACACAAATAGAGGTTTGGTTTCTACTGCTAAAATGTCAATACCAGCAGACTGAGGTAAGGTATGTGTATATATTAATATATATACAAATACATAATTTCTAGAGTAACAATTATATTAAGTTCTACACAAGGATATATGCTCAAGACCACTATAAATAAATAAAAATAAAAATATTTAAAACTGTTCAAGTAACCCACAAATAAAACAAAGAAAATAACAAGAGCTGGGCATGATGGTATGTGCCTGTAGTACCAGCTACTAGGGAGGCTGAGGTAGGACGATCTCTTGAGCCCCGGAGTTCTGGGCTATAGTGCACTATGCTGATCAGGTGTTTGCACTAAATTTGGCATCAATATGGTGACCTCCTGTACAGAGACCACCAGGTTTCCTAAGGAAGCATAAAGCAGCCCAGGTCAGAAACTGAGCAGGTAAAAACTCCCATGTTGATCACTAGAGGGCTCATGGGACTATATAGCCACTCTACTCCAGTATGAGCAACACAGTGAGACTCCATCTCTTAAAAAAGAGAAAAAGAAAAAGAAAAAAAACAGAAGACAAATAGAAACAAAAATAAAATGACAACATTAAGCCCTAATATATCCATAATTGCCCTAGATGTAAATTGTATGAATATACTAATTCAAAGACAAAGGGTGGATTTTAAAAATAATAATCCAATTATATGATTCTATAAAAAATTCACTTCAAATATAATTATTTTGGCCCAAGAATTGGCTCCCAAGAATACACTAACAAAGAAACACAACAAAGACAGAAAATAACAATAGCTGGGCACAGTGATGCCCATGTAAGCTGCTCTGGGGTCTAAAATCAGTGTACTCAGCCCACTGCTTCCATCACTGGAGCCCAAAGACTGACTTGGCTGGACATTCAAGTCCCCACCAAAACTGCACCACAATCTCAACTATTAACTGTTCCCTACCCACAAAGGGGGAACAGATACCACTGAAACTGTGTAATGAATAAGAAAGCATACAAAGACAATACTGCATGCTCCACAAATCAAAACCAAAGTGTCTCACTCAACCAACTACATATATATATATATATATGTGTGTGTGTGTGTGTGTGTGTATCTATGTGTGTGTGTGTATATACATAAATATATATATATATTTATATATATATATATATAATCTTCACCAAAAAATTCTCCCCTTCAAAAGCAATTTCAAAACATTGGAACAAAAGACTGTTAAATCAGACATGAAGATATCAATGGAAGAACACAGGAAATATAATACCACCAAAGGACCACAACAATTGTCCAGCAATGGATCTCAACCAAAAAGGATTCCTCATAATGCCAGATAAAGAATTCCAAATATAGATTCTATAGAAGCTCAACAAGATGCAAGAGAAATACAAAAACCAATACAAAGAAATCAGAAAATCACTTCAGGGTATAAAAGAGAAATTACCAAGGAGAGAGATACTGGGGGGGAGGGGGAACCAACAGAAATCCTGAAGCTAAAAAAGTCACTGAAAAATACAAAACACATTTGAAAGCTTCACTAGACCAAGAAGACAAAAGAATCTCAGTTATTTTGAAATAATCCAGTCAGACAAAAGTAAGGAAAAAAGAAAAAATAAAGCCTTTGAGATATCTGAGCCAATAAATTATCAGTAATTCCTAAGGGAAAAGAGAGATTGAAAAGTTTAAAAACACTATTTAAGGAAATAATGAAAACTTCCCAGGACTAGCAAAATAATTAGATATTCAGATACAGGAGGCCCAAAGATCCCCAGGCAAATACATTCCAAAAAGGACTTTACCACAGTATATTATAATCAGAATGACTAAAGTCAAGGTGAAAGAGAGAATTTTAAAATTAGCAAGATAAAAGTTACTTATAAAGTAAACCCTATCAGGCAGGAACTTTAGTAGACCTCTCAGTAGGAACTTTCCACGCCAGAAAAGAATAGGATGGCATTTTCAAAGGGCTGAAAAACAAAAAATTGTCAGCCAAGAATTTTATATCCTGCCATAATAAGCTACAAAAATGAAGGAGAAAGTCTTTCTCAGACAAACACTGTTAGAATTCATCACCAGTAGAGTGGTCCTACAGAAAATGCTCAAAGGGATCTTAAATATAGAAACAAAAGGTCAATATACACCATCATGAAAATACACAAAAATATAAAATTTACAGGTCTTACAAAACAATCAAATGAAAAGGAAGAGAATGGAATAAATGGCAACATGACAGAAGTTCAGCAAACCACAGAGACAAAAAGAGAGAAAAGCAACAGATAAATTATAAAACAACTAGATATCAACTA